ATAGGAGCTTGTTTACATTTAGCTACTAACGTGTTTCATATCAACCAATTAAATGCCAGGTGATGTTGTGCTACCAAAAATTCCGAGTCAAACTGAGGTAGGCAAAATCCTTTAAGAAAATCGTGAAAATCAGTAAGCACTTTAAGAGAGTATAAGACAGTATATAAGAAGGTGAAAAATAAGTCTTTCCCTGCCAATAGAACCTTTATTTTATATTACTTCTAGCTCTGTGAGGTAACACTCCACTTGTCAGTCCTTTTACTTTCTAGAACCTTCTTGCTCTTAGTAGAGGAAGTGCATACTTGAGTCTTTTTAAGCCACTAGAGGCTCAAGTTTTTATTCAAAGGAGTTTATAAACAAGTAAGGGAGGGTAGAAAGGATACATGAAGACAAGCTTCAAGTTGTTTTAATGAAAGTATAAAGACTTTTTTAGCAAGGAAGTATAAAACTACTTGCGAACATTTTTTTTGTGTGTGGTCAGAGGATTAGCAGAAAGAGTTCTATTGTCAGTTAATATTTAATGTTGATTGATTTTAACTATTTAATAATAAAATATATAATAGTAAAGTTATATATAACTATCACAAATTTGCTATATTAAATATAATTTAAGTATAAAAATATGTTAATTTTTAATATATTACTAAGTTTTAGTAAATAAAATTCATATTAAATAAATTATTACTTTTTTTAATTATCAACAAATCAATGCAACTATATCAAGGAATAAAACTTGATTTAACTACAAAAAACAAAGAGAAAAAAATTTTTAAATAGTATTAATTTTAATTTCATGCAATATTCCTATAGCACAAAAAGTATATAAACACATTTCAGTATTAGTATCATCTTATTATTACAAAAAAAAATATCAATTATAAAAATAATTATTATAATTTTAATAATATAAGAAATATAAATAAATAATTTATATTAAGTAATTTGACAATATATAAACAAGATTCTATCAAATAGAAATATTGTAATTCAAATATAACATGAAAATACTTATTAATAAAGAATTATGTCAGATAGTAAAATTTCTTTATTTATCTTACTTTGATTCAATTTAATATTTCTTATTGATTCTATGTACAGTTTTTTCTTAAATATTAATAAATGACTTATTAAACAAATATAGATTAAAGAAAAAATACTGATAAATAATATATTAAATAAAATACAAACAATAATAAAAATGTTTTAAGTGCTATCAGATATTGTTTTAATTTTAAAAAAAAGTAAATAATAATAAAGAATTTTTGAACTTTACTGTAAAAGACTTGAAATGAATATATTAAAGTCAGTGATTTCTTAGGCAATGAGTTTAATGTATAAAAGAGTTATCTTTATTAAGGTCGAGAAATAGACTTTTTATACATTTTAGAGTAGCACAAAATAAATATAAAATACATAGAGCTAAAAATACATAAATTATATGGCTTATGGTTCAGATAACTTATGTAATATATAGCTAATCATAAATGAAAAATAAAGAAAAAGAAATAAAATAAAAAATAAAAAGAAATGATTGATGTCTTATTTATTATAGTCTAATAGTCAATTACTATTTATGGTGAACAAATTCAGATAATCTATATGGTAAGTGGGATAGTTGGTTCAGATTGTTACATTTACTGTTAATCAGTGAAAAAATTTTTTCTTAATATATATAATTATTATTTTATGGAAATATCTTTTAAATATAGATCATCAAATTTAATAATTTTATCAAAATTTGTTAAATCTTAGTATGTCAAATTTTAAGGTAAAATTTGTTAAATAAGGTTTACAAAAGATTAGTTGCAATAATTAAACTAATGAAATGAAAATATAGTGAAGAAAAAATTACTCCAAATCTTCATCTTTCATTATATTTATATTAATGTATATATGATTTTAGATCATTGTTTACATTTTGATACTTTTTCATTGAGAGAATAAATGATATATTAAATAGGTTTTTGAATAAATTTAATATTCAAAAGTATGATTCTAATGAATTTTTAATTTAGATTCATTGTCTATGAATTAATACAAAGATCAATGAATAATTATTGAATTATTTATTTAATTATATTCTATCCTAATAATTATGAGCTTGAAATTTTAAATAATTGATCGAACATAGGCTTAATTTTTGAATTAAGTTAGTTTTCAGCTAATAAGCTATATCAATTTTTAAATAAAATATATAATATTTATGAAACAATTATTAATGAATCTAAATATTTCTTGCTCCTATTTTCCATTGAGTTTTTGTAAGTATTTTTATAATCACGGAATGCAGAACTTTAAATCCACCTACCTTAAAATAATACCAAACTTCTAGTGTCTGTCTTAAAACATCAATACTACAAATTTGAGCAGGAAACTCAAAGACAGACCCATCGAATCCGAAATAAAGTCCTTCGTCTAGTAAATCAACTCCAATTAGTTGTCCTTCCAGAGCTAAAGCATATAAAAATTAGAGATGCAGAAGCAATGAATTATAAGAAACAGATATAATGTATGATATTCAAATAATATTGTGATCTTACCTGCCAGCTGTAATCCAAAAATTGTTGTATCTTCCAAAGCTTCATCTGGAAGATCGTTCTTGAGATATTTGTTAAGTATGCACTTGTTTGTTCTAAGAGATTTACTTAGATCTTTTAAAATTTTTAACAATGTAGCTTTTTGGGCACATTCAGAATGGCTCAACTCTTTTGTACCATTCTCAGTTCTTATACAGAGGTCTATTTTTCTTTTTGAATCATTTGTAACTTGTGAAACGGTCTCTCCCCTAAAAAATTTATAGATGAATTTGTTAGTTTGCAATTGATAATTACTTCAAAATTAATAAAATACTTACCACATAAGCCTTACAAGGTTTTGACAATCGGAAAATATGATTTCCAATATAGGATCCACCATTTTTATCACAGATTGTATTTCTGTGTGTTTTTGCGGTTGACCGTTCTTTCTTACAAATAAATATGGATTTTCTAAGAACAAATCCAAGCTGATAAATAAAGTTTAAGCTTAATTAATAAATAGCAAGACAAAAAAAGCCAAGCAATTTAAAGGAAGTAATAACATACACATAGAAATATACTTTTTAAAATTTGTCTAAATTTAATATTGGTGGATCGTTCGACCATTTTTTTCTAATAGTAGTTTTCTTGCCCCCAAAAATCATGCGAAGTACAAAACTGAACATAGTGAAAGGTGTAAAGAGTTAGAGTACCACTCACAATATGATGGTTTTCAAAAAGGGTAGTACAGCCTATATACATTTTCAACTTTTGTAATAAACTCTAACATGTCACCAGAAAACTCTTCAACTGTTAAGTTTATTTTTGATAGCGCTTTGTTCTTTAATGGGATCCAATCGTCGTTAAACCAAGAGTGCATGCCCCGTTTAAACTCTGATGAAAGATCTATGATAGATGATAGCCCCAACCTGCACATACGTTTATAAAATGATTAGTAAATTACAAAATAAATAAATAAATAAATAAATATTATTTTTACTATTTTTTACCATATAATGCTCATTATTTTTGAATCCACTTTTTTGGACTGTTTCATTTCTTCAATCGCTCTTTTTGTCATGTTTATAAGCCGACCTCTTGCACTTTCATTATTTTTTAATTTCCAATTATAATTTTTGTTATCGATTTTCGAACCAACGAAAGAATTAAATGATATGTCTGCAAGTTCGACTGTATCTTCTTCATCAGAACTGCCATCTAAAGAATTTTCTTCATCTTCGTCCTCATAGTTAGATGATATCCCAGAATTCAATTCGTCCTGTGAAAATTTTAGGTTAAACGTAGAAACAGCAATTCTTTAATCAGATCCATAATTTAGTGTTTTTATTGCTTACATTTGTCTGCTCGCTCAGATAATCTAAACCTGATGAAATGTTCTCAGCATAATTATTTACCTTCAGATTTTTAAGATTATATTCTTCCTAAGGAAAGACAAAAAAATATTCCCAGTTAGAAAAGTATCTCTCAGATGTATAATTGATCATTTATGGTTTACCTTACCTTAACCTATAATAAAAAAGATTATTGAGTAAAATATTATATGTGAGGGTAAAAAACGCCAACATACTTCTGTAAGATTTTTCTTGTCGCTCTCTTCCGGGTCATTAGATTCCGAATCAATTTCATCTGTATTAGTAGTTTTAGACTGTATACATCCGAAAGGTAGAAAAATGTGGTCACTTTTGCGGGTCATATACTATCTACAGGGTGTATTCTGTACTAACCTTTTTACTGTTTTTTGAAGGTTCACCATTATCCATTGATCGTTTTTCTTTGCTTCTGGAATCATTTAAAGTATTCATCACACCTAAATTTTCCTAAATAGGTGCGTAGAATCAATTAGCCGAGTTCGAAAAACTGTAGCTGATTACAAGAATGCAAATCACATTACTGACCTTAAATTCCAACAGCAATTGATCACCCTTAATATGAAACTCCTCTATGACATTCGATTCGACCTGAATGAACTGTTGTTTCTAAATGGTTCAAATAAACAAATTAATAATAGTGATATTGTAGTACAGGAAACATACAATGTATATACTTAACTTTTTTTCGTTCAAATGAAGTTGTGCATTGCGAGTTTTAGATCTCTCATTTTGCAAGCGAACACTTTCCCAAAATTCTTGAACGGTTTGAGAGTCAATTTGTTCGTTAAAAGTTTCAAGAAAGATGCGAGCTTTCCCTGCTTGTTCTCCGTTACCAGATGCAATAACCTTCAATGCTTCATAGCATACTTCCTCGGCTCTTTTTTTTTGCGATAATGGGAACATGGTCTTTGAAAAAAATTTAACAATGCCATATCCTTTTGCTAAAACATTTTCTAAGATTTGAACGTAACCTTGATCGTAAAGATATCAATGTTAATAAAAATTCGTAAATGATGGTTTTTTTATTAACCCGAAACTTTCTCAGATAGTATAAAGTCACTGTCAATGAAGAAAGCCGTTCCGTGACAACACCAGAGGCAGAAAATGTACTCTCCGGATGGAAGACATGTCCCCGCTGGTTTTACATGCCCCAGAAACACTGATTCAAGGAATCAGAACCTTATGCATCTTTCAAAAGTTGCTTGTACAGCCAATTTACGGACAACACACAGAAGCATGAGACACGCTCTCCCGTAGGAAGGTGAATGCCCTCAGGATTTATAGGCCAGTAAACGCCGGGTTTATCAACGATTATACTTAACTGTCAGCAGGCATTGACATCACAACAAATACACCTTTATGATCACACGCATAGTCAGCCAGCCAATAAAAATTTTTGTATAATACCGTATTTCATCATGAACAGATTTCCGCGGTTTTTGTTCAGGTTCAACTGTCAGATAACGAATGACCGATTTATATTCAATTGGTAGGACTTTGGACACGTATAACTAATAATATTGAGATGATTTGTTAGGCTAGATAGGTAGTTTAGACAAATGAAAAACTTATAGTGTAGGCAATAGCGGACTTTGATTTTTGTTACAATTAATAAAGCAAAGGTGCGTTAATGCGGTGTGATTGAACTTTTGAATATATCCAATTTTGTAATAAAATAATGTCGAACGATCAGTTAACAATCAATACCTTGAGAGAGTTAAACTCTAGGCTTGCATCCGAGGTTACTGAACTTAGAAAAGAAAATGCTGATATTAAGGCTGAAAATATAAAATTAAAACAAGCAAGCTATAAAAGAAAATGCTGTGCTCAAGATCCGATTCGAAGAACTAGAAAAGAAACATAAAAAAGATACTGCTAAGCTTACTGCCGAGAATGCCGAGCTAAAAGACAGAGTTACGAAATTAGAACAGAGGCGGACCCAAGTCATCACTAATGACCAAGACGCATCTTCTACAAAAGATGTTTTTCAATCTCCGGCTAGTTCAGAATTATCAGCAAATACCCAAATCCAGGCACAGAATACTATTTCTTCCGAAATAAGAGATGAGTCTAAAGGGTCATCATCCATTCAATTACCTATCGAGGGCCAGCCTGACAACATTGGCCCTGATCGCTTACCTGAATTGGAACATAACTCGACAAGACCTGAATCACTAGCAGAATCTGAAACGCTTGAATCTTCTTTATCACAGGATATTATCAACGACGATTCAGTTGAGATTCTTGAGTTTGTGGAAAAAGTACATAAAGAAAATATAAGTAACGAAGTCAGGGAGAGAAACAGAAAAAAGAAACTTCAGAGTCAAGGATCAATGCAAAATACATCTTCCTCTTCTGATATAGAGCATCTCCAATCGAAATCCATGCCTACTGATCAAGCACAAAGAATCGAGCAAGACTTAAGGCACGACTTATCTGTGTTCATTAAAGAGAATAATAATAAAGTTAGTGAAGTATTTGATATACAAATTCCAGAGTTCTCGCTAGAAGCAATCGTAACAGGATCTAGCAAAATTACAGCACAAAATATAGCCGATTTGTTTATTATAGCAATGAAAGTTAGACAAAAAAGAGATTTTATGCTGGTATTGTTACTATAAATCATATGAGAATCGAGTCGAGAACATTAAATGTATAAATAAAATTGATGACCAATCGGCAAGGACATTGGTATATAATGAGATAAAAGCACTTCTTCCAGATATCAGTGATGTGAATTTGCGTCAAAGAACATTCAGAGCAAAAAAAGATCTATACGTTACTTATGGGAATAGGAATGGAAAAAATCCAAGCAATAGCATGTAGTGCAAGTGCAATTTCGAGTTTAACTGATAACCAGATTCAAGATATTATAAATTGTTTTCCCAAAAATTCTAGCACAGATGTCTCTTCAGCTAAATGTCAAAAAATGATCGGCGTTACAAATCATAACGTGCATGAGACTGAACAAACTTTACTGAAAACAACCACTCCTTCTATCTCATTGTCTCATACCTCTAATTCGATTGATGTTATAAGTGAGAAAGTCGAACCTTTACCAGAGACCGAAGTAAGTATCTCAGATACTGAAGCCTCACCTAATAATACGACTCAAATCTCTAAATTTCCCAGCTTATCCAGATAGAAGGAAAACATATTGGGCAACCTGCTCTAGCTCTCCAATGGACAGATTGGGAAAGACATCATTCTTGAACAACAAAATTCAATTTGTTCCATATCAGTTGACATACAATCCTACTAGTAACCATACTCTATTCCAATCAGATAGATTATTCCAAGTAAAAGAAGTAGGTATATTACAAGTCTGTCTTCTTCCACAGCTAAATAAACATGAAAATTTGAGAAAAGGGAAACAAGTCCTCCTACCTGGCAACCCTACAGATTGGCTTATAGCTACAAGGCAACAAACAAGAATTTCACTAATGTCTAGATCAGAAGTGAAAATCCAGGTAAAAAACTGGAAAGTCATGCTAATAAGACAAGCTATCCAATCAAATAAACATATAGATGAACTTATAGATGTCCTGAATTATAATAGAAGGTGTACAGCTACTCAGTTTACTTTCTATACTGATGGATCATATAAAAAAGGAACAAAAGATAGTAAGCTTGCAATGAATTTGGCTTGGGTTATAGTAGAAGACAATAAAGTTGTGAAGCAATTCTCAGCAGGGGCATTAACATAGTCATTGACAATTAGGGCAAAAATATTGGCTATTCTAATTGCAATATATACAGCTCCTCGAAATACAACAGTCTCAATATTCTCTGATTGTAATATGGCAGTTAAGACATAAAATTTCATTATTGCACAAGTGGAGATATCAACAAGAAGATGGACAAAGATTGCTAATTGGCCATTATAGAGTCAAATAAAAAATTTAGTTAAAAAGAAAGATATCACCTTGGAAATTATAAAGGTTAAAGCCTATGGAATTGATAAGTTCAATAATCAAGTAGATTTACTTGCCAAACAAGTTAAATGTAAAAATTCAATAATCTGGTACCAACTACCAAAGTTAAGGACAGTTCTGACAATAGTCACATAGAGAGAGCATACGATAGATATCTGTATTAGAGAATTTGTCAAAATATTCAACAAGAAAAAAATACGAAAAAATTGGACAACACAGAAAAGGATCCAAGAACTATGAATCTAAAATGACAAAATCATAGACTGGTTGACCTTCTAGAATTAGTTCAATCCATCCAACACCTTTGATACCTCTTTCAAAGATAATAAAGACAAAAGCTTCCTAATTAACCTGATCTACAATGAACTTCCAGTATTACAGATATTAAAGAAAAGAAAATTAAATATTATACCATAACAACATGTCCAATATATGAACTTCAAGAAGAAACTTTAGGACACTTGTTTGAATATTCAGCCACTAAAGAAATTAGAGAGAATATATAGAGAAAAGTAAAGAAACGATCAACTGATATATTAGTAAAGAAATCAAAAACAAAGAAGAAGTCTATCCTATAACCAATGACTAGACAAGTAAATGGTTAAATGAGATTCAGCGATCTGATAAAAGTCTTTTCAATACTATTTGTGGATATATAGAAGAGAACAAAAAACACTTCCTTGAAGACTTGCCTTAAAGTACAGCTCAAAATTTTTCAGACAGTCACACAAAGCATAATTGGTAAACTTTGTTATAAAATAAGGAAAAATTTCAAGAAGGGCATATGGAATAATCATTATAAAAAAGTAATAGAATAGGAAAAGAAGTAGAATATTACTGAAAAGAACAAAAGAATCAAAAGATATAAGCACCGATCCATCATGCAGGTTATATAAGAACAGGAAGAAGAACCCACACTTGCAGAAAATCTGAAAGAAGAAGTCTCTGAAAGAAAAGAGAAAACAAAGTATATAAAAATCATTAAGAATTTGATTTGTTATAGAAGGAAATGGTTTGATTTTTAACTGCAGTTGGAATTTAGAATGATCTACAGTAATGACCTGTAGGCAATAATTTTATTGACTAAAGAATTTATCCAAGTTAGTAAAGGAGCGAAATAATATTTTCTAAGTTGCATCTAGAGAAATAGTTTTTTAACGATGGATGGGTTAGTATGTGAAAGTCAAAATAATTTATAAATATCTAATATATATACAATAAAGACAAGCTATGCTGACCTGACTGTGGATTAAAAAAAAAAAAAATCTAAGGTTAAGTATATAGCAAAATATTAAAAAAATATAGAATATATAAAACAATATTATAATTAGGGAATTAACATTAGTTAAAAAAAACTATTCAATATATTGCCACTTATATAATATTCAGTAAAAAATAAATAATTTAACAAAAAAATAATATAAATAAATTGAAAACTATATAATTCAACTATAAATGTTACAAAAATTGATATATTAACAATTTATCAAAAAATTCATTAACAATTTATCAAATAATTCATTAACTATTTAACAAAAATTCATTTATTAATAATTTAATAAAAATTCAATATTAATTTATTAATTATTCATCAAAATTTTGTTAATAATTTATTAATAATTCACAATTATTCATCAAAATTATTCATTAAAAATTCATCAACTATTTATTAAAAATTTGGCAACTATTTATCAAAACTATTCATAAAAAGTTCATTAATTATTTATTAAAAATTTAGCAATTATTTATTAGCAATAAAGTAAAAAAATTGATAAACTTATATATGAATTTTTTTAAATTGAAGTTATATTTATAAATTATAAATAATATAAACTATAATATTTTTTTTTTTTTTTTAATCCACAATCATGTCACAATGGCTTGTCTTTATTGAAAAATTGAAGTAAATCTACAATATTTTACAGACTTTTATAACGTGACTAACTTATCTTTATACAAAAATACTCT